AAAGATTTACTTCCAAAATGAAGAGCGAGATTTTCAACACTCACTGTCTGTGTTTACTGTTTGAAGTCTTGCATCTGTATGATGATGTAACAATGATGTGAGTGCTATGTAATATGGGTAATCATTGCCTTTAAAGCGCAGCTCAACAATCCCTGGGAAATTTGATTTGAATGGCCCACCTAAAATTTTTTCTATTGTCGGGTTTGAAAGGATATATTAGTAGCATTCAAGTTAGAGATCTTGGCTTGTGCAGAGACTCTGGACCGACTTGACAGGTGCCAAAAATGTGTGTGAATGGTCAGGACCCAGTCGCACATGCCGAAACAAATCTTTCTTGGTCGTGCCGTGATTTGCTGCCTGAACGCTGGGCATGAACAGAAATCATGCCCTCGGTGGTGAGTGTAGGAGAACTAGTATAACATGACGATGGAGCGAAGTGCAGCTAGATATGGTCGAATGCTGTAGCAATGAATGAAATGGTTAAATATAATTGAAAATCATAACAGTCCAAGCAGTCAACTGTCAAAATGGTACCGTGATCAAATGCATCATCATGGAGTGCCATTGTATCCTCGTGGGCGGAGCTACGTCACAAGACGTTCCACGTTGCTACGACGCACACCACTGTACATGCATTTCTATGGGCTCTGTGCGCACTGCTGTGGAACGCCAGTCGAGCCGGTGAAAATTCAAGAAAACAACACAAACTCAACTTTGAAGGAATCCCGAACAACCAAATTTATATATGTCACACACGTAGGGCTAATCTTGTTACACTGTTCAGAGGAGTCTCAACAATCATCCCAAAGTACAGTTTTCTGTGAGTTTTGGGCCTTTGTTTTCACCGCCGCGGGTTGCCAGGCGGTGAAAATGTCCGGATGTCTGCCCCCAAGGATAAGTAAATTCTTTTGATGCACAGAAAGCAGCGGTTTAAAGAAAACGAAATATCAATTTTTTTTTTCTTTTCAGAACAACTTTCAGGAATTATTAGTCTATGAGTAATTCTAGAAAAACTGAAGGAAAATATCTAAAAAATGATTGGACATTTGAGGATGCTTTGTAATTGTACACATCTACATTGTACACCATCATTTCCTTCTTGTTATCACATTGCATGCTGGGTACATTTTATGCATCAACGGAAATTAAAATTACAATGGAATGCAAAACACAGAATATAAGCAATGGAGTTTCAGTTCTTCAACTTCACAGAGAAACCAAGGACATTGATGCCAACTGAGTTTACCTTGGTTCATTTTGATACTCCATATAATATTCCTACATGCTTGGGTAATTTTATAAATTTTGTCCTTCTCCATTCAAATTTCATGTCCTAGTGTATAAATGTATGATACAGTTTCAGAAATTTACCAGTTACCTTTTCCAGAATAAAAATAAGTGGATATATATATCAGATAGTGAGCTGATATGTATCAGACAGACCGCCTGCTGTAGCGTGAATAATCGGTTTGTAGACAGATAGCTGTAATAATAGCTACCGTCAATGTTATATCAAGTATTGACAAGTACGTGCCCATGGGTGTTTTTTTGTTGACTTGAGTTTTCATCAACAAAAAATGCTTGAATCAACTGCACATATTGTTAAGGGGAGCAGCACAAACTATTAGACAGCTTACAGAATTGGGCCTATATCACTAGTGTAACATCAAGTTCAATGTCATATTTAACCATTTCATCAGCAACATATACAGGATGTAGTATCTTTTCGCTTCCATGTGTACATCAAACAGAACATGTACAGTATCGGCCTTCAAATTATAGGTCATATAGTTTTATTGTCAGGGAATTGTTGTTAGGCTAACCTTTGGAAAACACTGCCTGCCCTCATCTATAGAGCCAGCATGTGTCCCGGAGGGCATTCTTTGCATTTCTGTTTACACTCGCCGAACCGCCATGGTGTGCACCAACAAAGGAGACATTTTTTCACTCATTCCAACTAATCTTGCCTCTAGCGAGTTTCCTGTCACTTTTGTTGAGAGAAGCGCATTGTGGCTCTACACAACATGTTTCTTTGCAACAGAAACTTCAAGTGCTTTTGAAATATATCCATATTGTATTTTCAATTAGTACCGGTAATGTACATGTTCAAGATCTCAGTAAAATTAGTAAATCTTTTCCAAATTTCTAAGGACGGGACCAAGCAATATGCAAACTGGTTGTAGTGGTAGGTGTAAGTGGGGTGGCCGTCCAGAAGTGGCTTTTTCACTTGATTTACTTCAAAAGCACATACATGTAGGTTAGGTTCTCATATTCTGCCAAAGTAGATTGCTTACCCCCCCCCCCCCAATGGTTAAAATGTACAAACATAATTTTTGAACTAAGTTGTCATAAAATCATGCAAAAAGTGTATCAAAACATGTCTATACAGTCAGTGCTCATGTCAGAACTCACATATGTACATGTTGTATGCTCGATTGTCAGATTTAGAAGACTTGTTTTAAATCCAACCATTTTACTGACAAGACAATGCTTATTCCTACCCCACCACCATAACAACTCACTTTGGAAATTGGCGTCAGCGTTAATTTACCAAGTAATTTGGCATTCACAAAGTTCCTTAAAAGTTAATAAATTAGGCGGCCACTTGATAATGTAGACAATAGTGCTGACCCACAATTTTTCGGTTGACCAAATATTTCTATCTTGTATGTGCTTTTCCGTTTATTTATGTCTTGACTCATACCAATCAACAACTAATTTGCATTCAATATTGATGCATCTGGTCAGAGAGCTCAGCAAAACGACTCTTTTCGATAAGATGTGAACATGCTACTGTTGATTCAAATTGTAAACAATAACTTCAAATGACAACTGTTTTTATGCATAATGAAGGCTAGGTCAAATTTCATGTTTACTTAACAGTTGGGCAACACTAGAAATCAGAGTGGCGCCACTGTGACATAAGAGTTTATTTGCTTAGCTCTTTCACAGTCTATAGTTTTACATAAATAAATTATAAAATTTATTGTCAGGGCAATGTACTTTTCTTGTTGATGAACTGCTAAAGAACAACAATAGTAAATCACATATATGCATATTTCAGAAATAATGATTTGGGATTCATTTAAACTAAATTAAAAATAATACGATTGTTTACATAAATAACCCACAACTAAAATAATCTGGTTTAGTTCAGAATCACAAGACTAGTTTTGACCCGAGCATTGCCCTAAACGCAAAGATAACATGCGTATAAGAAACGCCATCTAACGATGCCATGACATGAATGACATCAACTCGCAATTGACTGAAACCGATAAGCAGTAGCCGAAATAATAATAGATGCAACAGTAACTGGATTGTTGATTTCATTTTGTGTTTTTAACTTAATGGCATGGGGACGAATATGTTCAAAACACAAATTTTACAGCATTGTATTAGCTACATCACTAGATAAGTTGTAAATCAGACCTTGCACCTTTGCTGAACCAATACAGCTGTAGCTAAGGTGTCCTTAAACACCAATCACAGCAGGTAGAGCCTGATATACATTAAATACATTATCTGATATATACATTTAATTATTTAATGAGCAAATGATAGAACAATACATACATGTACGATAGACATTTTTTTAATTAACGTTATTCCTGAGTATCACCATGAGGCAATCCACACTGATAAAGATATTATGTTATTTTAAGATATTTTAGTGTGCTGTCCATTCTACATTTCATCCACTACTATGCCATCAATTACATTATAATAAAATCATTTTATTTATTGTAAATTATTGACTTGTAATTCTATAATGGTATGAGTTTAATACCATAATTGGTTTTCATAATAAAAATTAATGACAATTATTGCACAAAATACCATTCATCGTAATTTTTTTACCAATTTTCAATAAATTCTTAATTTGTTCTCTGAAACATCCCTAGCATTTGTAATTATTTCTATTATTTTTGTAAATTTTGTTTATAAACCCAAAAATGTAATATAAATCAAATATACAGCAAAGCAGAATCATTTTCCTAAGCTTTCTATGAGTGTCACTCAGTACAAATACAATTGAATTATATATAAATTCAGCTGAAACCTGGACAGTAGCCATGGTAACAAATGTAATAATGCCTAAAGGTATGGAGATAGTAGCAGCTCAATACATACTACACATGTGCCGATTTGATCGCTATACTGCCTTATGCATTCATTGGAGTATTTCCCTGATAACTGTTATGTTATACTGTAGAATACTTTATTTTTACTTGGAATTTATTTTCGCTAATTTCGCTGAAGGAATGATTCAGTGGAAATAAAATCAAGCGAATATACCTTTTTTCCTATATTTCACATTCAACTCATCAAAAATCAGTGAAAATAAGTTCCATACAATACACCCAAAAAGGAATTTCAGCGAAAATTAATTCCAGCTAAAATAAAGTATTTTACAGTACATCGTTAAACTGCTTATAGTAATAATTTAACAGTCAAAAATGTCAATAGAAAGATTGTGACATATCGCCAGACAACAGTCTAAGATTCAAAAAACCATCTTCAGTTTTTAGGAGGTGCATGTCTTAATCATAATGACATCATCTGCACTCCCGATTAGCTCAGATGAATTACCAAAATATGAAAATGTTAAATTCACTAATCCATGTACTTATAACACATGTCTAGTACAAGTTTCAGGAAATGCTGACATTTGTAACATGAGGGTGGACCAAATAAGGGGTTGAGCATTAAAAAATCAGAGGAGGCAGGTAGAGCTACATACTTTACATAAGTTATTTCATTTCCTTGTACCTAAAAATACAGTTTTGAGCTACATTTTTTTTATGATGACCATGCTGTCATTTTTTCTCTTTTTGTCTTTTTTTTCCCCCTCAAATTCCACCCCAATACTTTCTAATGGTCTAACCCTAGATGTAATGCTAGTGAAACCTGAAATAAATTATTCAAATTTGTGTTTCTAAATATTTCTTTGCACAAAAATAAAATAATTAACATCAAAAAAGTAGACATTACCTTGCTGCGCCTTGGGTAGGATTGTCCTCTCTGACCTTTCCAATTTCCGGTGAAGTTTTACTCCATAAGTTGGATCCATTGCTAGCCATGGTGGCAGAGAATACATTTCATTCACAGCTCTTAAGCTGACAGGCAATCACACTACTGTATGCGTACAACATCTGTGGAGGTAGCCCTGTCAAGAAATAACACATATGATGTTATGATAGGTTTTACCAAGCTCTATTATCACCAAGAGTTGACTTTTAATGAGTTCAACTACAAAAGTACTGAGATAATACTCTGTAGAAGAAAAGGATTGCTACTGGATGCACAAATACAAAAAGTTAGGTGTGAACAATTCTGGTGTGTAAATGATAGCTATCAATAGCTAAGGAGAAAACATACCAAAGTATGTCGGCTTTCAACCATGCATGCATAAAAGGGGTCTGCCACCCCTATTGTAATGTAAATGGTATACTCCATGACTGTAATGAGCTGGAAAGCATGGATGTCAAACTAATCATCAAATGAAAAACTAAATTTACTTCACAGTATCCACGGTATAAGTTTTAAAAAGCTAGGGAGGTCATTTTAGGGTTACACATATTCAGTAGAAACAGGAAATTATAACAGGAAGTGATTAATTCAAGTCTGGAAATTTGACATTGGGCTATCAAGACATTTGAATGAGCAATTGTGTATTCTTATATTTTGCAAATTTACACATACAGTGAAATAAAACATTCAAATTAAATACAAAAAAAAACAAGAGTCAATTAAAACGTGAGCAGGATAAAAACGTCCAAAGACAGAACACATTATGCATGACTTACAGAATACCATATTTGTTTTATTAGTTGTGCAATTCAAGCATCCATAAACCAATAATGCATTTATTGCAAACAGAATCATTAAAATATGACTTATTTTGATCATACACACATCTTGATCTTTTACATAAACACATGCATTAATAAATATATTGAGTATGATATGACCATATTTTCTATACATTAGAAATGTAAATATTATTCAAATAAGATTAGAGTTTGTGATTTTTAGTCTCTTAGTAACATCATGGAGGTAAAAAAAGACCTCCATGGTAGCATACAGTATGTAGATATTAATTCTCTACTTTACTGTATTTGCTCTATTAAAAATGTATCTCCAATGAAAGAGCACATAATATGAATATACAAAAAATTTGTTGTATATTTAGTTATTAAAAATATTACTTATTTTGACCCTAGAAACATGTCTGTAATTTACATAAGTGTATTAATAAAACAAATAAGCTAATTCAAATTTTAATAATTTGAAACTCATATTCGTTAAATTTTACGGGGAAAAATAAAAAATTGTAAGGAAAAAAAAATCAAAGGGGTTCATTTACTTGTTTGCAGAGGTCATATTTATTCTATTAAAAATGCATCTCTTGTACAATCAAACATAAAAATTACATTCATTGTATACGACTTGACCACAGACACACCTTTGTTATTTTACATAAACAAATAGAGCAAATACAGTAGAACTTATTTACATAAGCACATGCACTAATAGAGAAAATACAGTACACATAAATCCTTAGTTGATGTGACTGCTCTCAACTGTTATACATGTACAGGTATTACAAAAAATGAAAAAGTAAAAATTCAAAAAAAAAAATTTAATCTTAGTTTGTTGATGGCTATTTCATTTTTCTTGACCTGGGCAGTAATTGTTGCATACATAGCTAACTGGTAACCCTACACATACACAGGGTATGCATCAAAATACAGTGTTAACTTGCTGTTGAAATCTTGGTGAACACAATGCCTTGGTAACGACAGACATGATTTAATAGCTTGCAGTCAAGGGAATTGTTCTTGTCTACAGCTCAGCACTAAAACTCTCATGATGACATGCATGTGAACAAGAACTCAGCGTTAAACAACAACACCATGTCATCAACTCTTATAAATAGCAGGCAAAAATTACTCAGCTATTACTCATGTCAAGTTGCCTACAAATGTTGATAACAATGACACCAGTGACCAGTGAATCGTGACATCAGACCACCAATAAGCAGGGCTCAGGCCATCAGCTATTTATTGCTATCAAGGCAATTGCCTCATTGCCCTACCTGACTGCCATGAGCGATGCTCTTAAATATTTACTACACAGTAATTCAATGAGACCAAGGCATTTTCAAGGCAAAACATTTTGAAAATGCTTTGGTCTCACAAATGTGAAGTTCAAGCCCATAAAAAGGAATGCCTACATTGTAATGCAGTCTGCTATGGTAGACACATACCCAAAGCTTCACATACATAAACCCAGAAAAATTATGACATTGACTGTACAAGTAATAATGTACTCAGTAACTGCTGTCATGTTCAGGTGTGAGTTACCCTGCAGGCATCACAGACAATTACGCTCTAACTGACTGGCCTGAATTGCCAGTTAAAAAACCACCTACATGTACCACCTAAGGCATAGTGTTGACATTGACGGATGGGCACCACCAATTTATGACCAAACATCATGCGTTTATAACTGAAAATTCATCATTATTGACAAGACTACAAAAACTGAAAAGCTATTTCACAAGTTGTTCATCAATTACATAGTGGTGATAGTGGTAGTGGTGATAGTGGTGAGTTATTGGAAATCAGGGGGGGGGGGGGTACCTAGGCTGTGAATATTTGTTTACTACTACCAACAAGAAGTTGAAAATATCACTTTTTACCAAAATGACAAAAAATATTCTTTAAAATTAGAAAATTTAAGATGTCATCACAAAATGAACAAATCTTAGAGAGGTGTGCCCAAGGTACAAATACACCAACTATAAGCAATAAAAATTGTAGTTTTCAAGAAGATGTCAAAAAAGTTGACATGGACCAATGACGGGCAATCACGAATACGTATGATAAGCTCCGCTCGACAAAGTCAACATGGGAACCAAAAAGGGCATAGATATGGCAGCCATAGAATCATGTGTACTATGGTGTTGACTATACAATGTTTAGGTTGGCCACATATTTCTGTCATGTGTGCACTCTTTTATTTATTTATGTCTGATGGAACAGAGCACCAACAGCTGACATCTCTTGGTCATATTAAATGTCATTAAACCAACATGATTAAATGAAGCATACAGCTATGAATAACAACCTAAACTGCTTTAAAGTTCAACACATTGTGAGCACCTACTTTGAAATAATAAATATAGTTGACAGTGGCAATCAAGTGCAGTTTAGGGTTTCTTGTAATTACCCCGGTACAAACCTGTAAATGATGATGTTTAAGCCACATTTCGTGTTCACATTTGTTTTTATACTGTAGTGGGTGTTATGTAAAAGTTGACCCAGTGCTGATGCTGACCTTTCAAAGTGAGTTTAATCTTCATCCTTCAGTGAAGTATAATCACACCTCTTATTTTGGCCTAAAGGGACACCAAAAACAAATGCTAACGATGATGTACTGTTTGTCATTTAACGCAGAAAATTATTCCCAGACACGTTTATTTGCTGGCTGTCAGTTAATTTTTACTCATTCTCCATCTTTTTATTTTGGCCATCAAACCGACTTCCAAATTTATGTGGTGGATAAGTTTATATCGCAAAACTAGGCGTTGGGGTGTTCTTTTCGTCACATAAAGCGAACTGATTAAACATGCGGAATTGTTATTGAAACGGACATCGATTGCGTTGTGTTTTCTTGAGTTGAACAGACATGAGGTATAATTCAAACTTGTTTATTTGTACTCAACATGAACATCAATACGTTGTGCAGCAAATACTTCTGGGTATAAATATAGATCGCTAAATAATAGCTTCATGAGGAGTTGACATCGTAGAGAGCATAGAAAGGAGGGTGTGCATAACGAGCATCAAGTTGCGAAGCTACCATAGAAGGAATTACAGCGACGGCCTGAATCGAACTTCTCACAACAGCGCTTTGCCTGGTTAATGTAGTTGTCAACGTTAGAGCGGCATTTGTCTTGGTGACAGCTCAAAGCAAATGTATTCGTCTCTGGGATACAATAAACTAAATAAAAGATATTGATGAAAGCAGCAAAAGTTTCAGAGAAGCAAACTTCTAAACGTAAAGTTCAGACAAGATAACAGGGCATGCTATGTCAACTACTAAACCACTAATGACATATCACACATCCAAAGAGTCGAGACACCTTTTATTCGATGCCATCAAAGCGTGACACACTCCGCATAATACACTTTATATGCCTCAATAAAAACAAAGTAACATACTGAATAAAAAGGAAATAGGAATAAATAAAAGGATCGATCAAAGAGCACAAATTTAACATTTCAGTGACGTGATGAACTCAGAAAGCGAAAACAGCTGCTAAGACTTTTCGATGTTCTAAATTATTAAGCGCTGAGTAAATCACACGATTTTAATGGACAATAGATTGCATGACACAACACAGTATCCATTAACATTCATGGCATTCAATGTTTTATACTGAACTATTTTTATTCTATTTTATTTGTTACTCAGATCAAAAGGCAAAGATGTCAAAGCAGTTTTTATGAGGATAACCAATCATCCAGTTATCTGATACATGTAATTAGAACGCACTGAACAAAAGAACAGTACATATAATCAATCATTTTTATGATATCAACCCTATTAGATACAATAATATCTACCCAAACTTGCCAAATGTTTGGTAGTCGGGGAAAGCATATTTGAACTGTTCAGTGAGCTGTTTGTTGCAGGGGTGCAAGATACTCCTGCATGTATAATGTCTGTTCCATATGATATAACCGATTGGATATTTTTGTATCACTCTCCAATGAGTTATTAATGGTCTGACTGGTCAATGAATTCAATTCAAAATTGTGAAGTCATCGCCAAAGATACCAAAACACAACCCATTTGACGACTTGGCAACACTTTTTTAAATAACTGGTTGGAATATGGCCAATATTAATGTATTATCATACATGTATATCAGTAATTTAAAACTTTCACCAATGTTAATTCATACACAGACTTAATGTATCTAATTCTCCCAAACTCATCCCGGCAGTCTATGGGACTAATGTTCCATTACATATATAGCCAAAATGGCTGATAGAATGACTTCTAAAGTTTGTAAAATGTTACTAATGAGCCCCTAACACTGTCAATACAACCATTTCCCCCAACAAGTCAGCAAATTGCTTACCAGTGGCAATA